CTGGGGGGAAGGGAGGGTAGAGTTTGGCTGCCATCCTGCCCACCCAGCCCTTGATTGGGTTGGGAGAGTCCGTCAGGGGTGGGCCAGCCCCACCCCCTGATCAGGCTGGTTCAGCCCTGATGGGGCCAGTTCACTGGCCACAGTGGGCCTCATAGTGACTGGTTGTTCCGGTCGTTTGGCTTTATGGTCGCTGGCTTTTTATTTATATAGATAGCTCTATTTAGCATTCTTCTTTTAAGAAGAGCTTTTGGTCATCAACTTGGGATGAATTATAGTTCCTCCTTTAAAAGAGTGGGCTAAATTCCTTCCCTTCATCAGTTTCCAACCACAGGTCTTAAACAGAATGTGGCATTGTCTTTCATTTTATCTTTCATTTGGGTTCTTCATTCTCAGCAAAGCTGCTATGTAGGTATATATTGTGTCCTACAAATTCTGGTCTTCTATCTTGTGTTTCTCATTTAAATGTAAGTCTTTGTGCTATTTCCATCTGAGTCTTAAGTGTTTTATGTGTTTTGATTGGTGGTGAGTTTTTTCACATGAGTTTATATAGGTGTTTGTATTTGGTTTTAGTTTAGGGATTATTTTCTTGTGTTTATCTCAAAGGAGTCATGATGCTGATGAATGTATTGTAGTTTATTTTATTTTTAAAAACATGTTTTTATTGATTTCAGAGGGAGAAAGGGAGAGGGAGAGATAGAAACATCAGTGATGAGAGAGAATCATCTATCAGCTGCCTCCTGCACACCCCCCTCCTGGGGGTCGAGCACACAACCCTGGCATATGCCCTGACTGGGAATCGAGCCATGATCTCCTGGTTCATAGGTCAACACTCAACCGCTGAGCCACACTGGCCAGGCTGTAGTTTATTTTTGAAGAAACAGAATTATTTGTTTTAGGTACACTCTCTCCACTTCCTTTCCCACTTCCTCCCGCCCCCTCTCCCAAGAATATGTTACATCTATCAGGAAGCATGTTTTTTTTTGTTTTTTTTATTATGCCAGCAGCCATTGCCTACATACAATAATTCATTTAGGGGTGACCAGGATATGTTTAAAATAAATTATACATGTATGGAATAAATTACTGTCAGTTGACTTTGCTTTTTTCATGAAACTTTGTTCTATTGATTAAATACAAAGTATCAAACTGCATGTATTATTCACTAAATTTTCGTTATTTTTAGGAAGAGTATCGACCAAAGTGTTTTTCACTCTTTTTGCCCTGCTTGGTCTCTTCATTTGTTTCTTCGGACACAGATTCTGGAAAACAGGTATTGTGTCTGATGTAGTTGCTATTGCATGCCTCATGGTCTTTTTTCTTAAATGCTGTGGGGAATTGATGATCTGTAAGGAGAGTAAGCAACTGTTGACCTCCACTGTCTTCATAAACTTGTGGTTGGGTTGTTTTAGTAAAGATTCTACTGAGTTGCTCTGCATTTTTATTTTTTCTCTTTTCGCAATAATGGAGTTTACCACGTCCTCTTGTTAGTGGAATAAAATGTGATTTGTGCAGCAAACTTCTTCATTTGCTAGATTTCCTAGTTGGTTAAAGATAACAGGTTAGGAATCAGGATGTCAGTGTAAAAAAATATATGTATGTGTGTGGATTTCAGTGTTGGTGGTCGACATGGTTTCATATAAATCAGGCTGTAGGACTCCATGTATAATTCATTAACAAGGAGTACAAATGGAGCATCAGGGGGAGAGTGAACTTAATCCTGATCTCATAAAACTCTTTAAACTTGCTTAAACAAATTGTTTGAAATAGCAATTCCTTTTCCTCCATCACTATACCTTTTTTTCTTGATTGAGAAGAGATGATTGTGAAGAATATTTAACTCCTCAAAGTGTAGAATGATTCTGTAACAAAGAATTTAATTCCTAAGCTGCATATAAGGCCCCAAAGATATTACTAGGTATTTTAACGGATGAAGATAATAGTTGGATTGTTCATTCTAAAAAGGAAAGGATGAATTAAAAGGAGACATAAAAGTCACATTTTGCTTTGGAATATTTTGTGTGGCTTTTTTTTCTTTTTTTACCTTTTAAATTTTATTTTCTCTTAAGTTGAAATTTAGTGTGCAATTTCAGATCAGACACAATGACAGAAGTACTATTCTTATTTTAAGAAGGAAGTATAACTGTATTAAAATGAGCTCTGAAATTAATAACTTAGCAATTGAAATTGACCTAAATACAAGAAGGTATAACCTATGGTTAGCACTTTAATAGTGTACCCATTTAATAGTAATATTTACTCCCCATAAATTCTACATTTTCCCTGCCTTTTAGATAATTATTTCTCTCCTCCAAATGCCCTAATGTGGAAGCATGAATTTATACATTAAATACTTAACTTGCATTGTAAAAAGAATACCTAACCATAGCTTGTGTTTTTTTCCTTTCCTGATGGTTTGCTACTAGAATTATTCTTCATAGGCTTTATCTTCATGGGATTCTTCTTTTATATACTGATTACCAGACTGACACCTATTAAGTATGATGGTAAGTAAAATAATATAACTTAATTAGGTGTTCAAAAGGAAGATGCTGTGTTTACACTCCACCTTTGCTTCTACAGTTTGTCCAGTATTGTGTATGATATGCTATTTTGTGTGTAAAATAATGTAAAACCTGTAGTCTAAACATCATTTCTAAACTGCTTGTTCAGACCTTCTCGTCCAAGTTTTTGGTACTTGGTAAATTACTTGGTATTTAGGGAAATGAAAGGTCCCTATGGATTATAAACCTGTGTTTCAGCTATGTGGTATACTGAAATATGAGATATATAACAGTCAAAATGTTAAGATTTTCTTCACCTTAAAACAGTGGTTCTCAACCTGTGGGTTGCAACCCCTTTGGGGGTCGAACGACCCTTTCATAGGGGTTGCCTAAGACCATCGGAAAACACAAATATAATTACATATTGTTTTTGTGATTAATCACTATGCTTTAATTATGTTCAGTTTGTAACAATGAAAATACATCCTGCATATCAGATATTTACGTTACGATTCATAACAGTAGCAAAATTATAGTTATGAAGTAGCAACGAAAATAATTTTATGGTTGGGGGTCACCACAACATGAGGAACTGTATTAAAGGGTCGCAGCATTAGGAAGGTTGAGAACCACTGCCTTAAAACAAACACAACCCCTCTGTCCTTGTCTTGTTTAACAGAATGCTTGTCATTCCTTCTTCCTCAGCCCTAATGTATAGGTCAGTGATGGCGAACCTATGACACGCGTGTCAGAGTGACACGCCAACTCATTTTTTTTGGTTGATTTTTCTTTGTTAAATGGCATTTAAATATATAACATAAATATCAAAAATATAAGTCTTTGTTTTACTATGGTTGCAAATATCAAAAAATTTCCATATGTGACACGGCACCAGAGTTAAGTTAGGGTTTTTCAAAATGCTGACACGCCAGCTCAAAACATTCGCCATCACTGGTATAGGTTGTGCCAAGTCATGCCTGTCACCAGTCCTGGGAGGTTTAGCCCTCCAGCTAGGGTTCATGCCTCAGACTGGTTCCTCCTCCTCCTCCGGGGAGAGAGAGAGAGAGAGAGAGAGCGAGAGCATGTTGGTCTCATGGCACCACTGAAGAGCCCACCCACCTCTGTTGGTGCCTGACCAACTTAAAGGCTAAGGGCGGCCCTGGCAATGGTCTATTGCGTCTAAAGCAGGCAGTCAGAGAAGCCACCTCTGGTCACACAGTTCCTCTTCTGTCTTTGTGCAGTTCGTCTGGTTCTGACAGCCATCGCCGGAAGTCTTGGTGGGATTTTCTTGGTAGCTGCTTGGTGGCGATTTGGCATCCTCGCGCTCTGCATGCTGTGTGTTGGACTAGTGCTGGGCTTCTTCGTCTCTTCAGTGACTTTCTTCACTCCGTTGGGTAAGAGATGCGTGACTCAGTGTTGCGTGCGTTCAGTTTATTGTTTGAAAGGTCTTATTTGGGCTCTCTAGGTACAAGTACTGCTCATCAGGGATGTGGGGTCTTCTATAGAGTTCTGGAAATTGGCACTTGATGATGTGGCACTTTAGGGAGGGCCAGTACAAATAAGAAGCCCTCTTTCCTCAAAGATACCTGTACTAGATGTCTTATAGAAGGCCTTTAGAGACAGCTTTGTTCCTATTTCTGAGATAAGGTGTGTGTCTAAGTCTGTTTCTGTTAGAATTAGTGGAGGGAAAATGCATTCTTAATATATAGCAAAACAGTGGGTTTTGTTCTTCATTTTTTTAAACCCTGGAACTCTTTCCTCAGACGAATCTTAAGTAGAAGCCCAATAGAGCCCGCAGGTAAATTGGGTGCTGCTTTGACAGCAGCTGACTTGGGGAACTCAGTGCTTTTCTCAGTCTTCTCTTTTACCCCGAACCTCCACTCCCACCCTTTGCCAAACTTTGTGCTCCTCAGGCACCTACTTGTAGTCATCTTGGGGCCGCAGCACAGGGATGGTTCTGTTTTTTTGTTGTTGTTTGTTTGTTTTGATTTTTTTTTACATAATTCAGTTTCGATCCATGTAAAAAATCTGGTTAACTTGTAAGTTAACTTTCTTTGCAGTTGTGCAATAACTTACATTTTCTGATTGTTGTCAAACATGGAAAAAGGGTATCTACATTCCAAGGAACTCTATTAGGCTATTTCTTTTTTATGTTTTATTTAGTTTTTATATTGCAATATCAGATTAAAGTAGATGGAAATGTTAGAAATAAGTATAGTTGTCTTTTGAGGCTATCAGCTTTGAGAACACAGGGTATAACAGAATGTAGTTGGTGCTCTATAAAGATTTTTTTTTTAAGACCAGAGAGAATTGACAACCTTTACTGACCATTAAGAGGCCCTTTTGTTCTAATTTTAGCAAACCTAAAGCCAGGTTCATTCCCACAGCCCCCCCCCCCCCCCTCGTTTGCAGGTAGCTTTTTTTATTTTTTCAATTAGTGTTAATGAGAATGCAGATTGGTGCAATCATGATGGAAAACAGTATGGAGGTTCCTCAAAAAATTAAAAATGGAACTGCCTTCTGACCCAATGATTCCACTTCTGGGAATATATCAGAAGGAACCCAAAGCACTAATTCAAAAGAATATATGCATCCCTATGTTCATTGCAGTGTTATTTACAGTAGCCAAGATATGGAAGCAACCAAAGTGCTCATCAATAGATGAGTGGATAAAAAAAGCTGTGGTACTCATGTACAATGGAATATTACTCAACCTGAAAAAAAAATGAAATCTTACCATTTGCTACAGCATGGGTGGACCTAGAGGGTATTGTGTTGAGTGAAATAAGTCAGACAGAGAATGACAAATACCATATGATTTCACTTATATGTGGGATTTATAGAACTCCTACTCTTCCAGGATACATGGGTCTCAAGATGTGGGGCCACCTTCAGGTGGACTGAGTGATGGTGCCACTGTCAGTATTAAATAATTCTCAGGCCCTACCTGGTTTGGCTCAGTGGATAGTGTCGGCCTGCGGACCAAAGGTCCCGGGTTTGATTTTGATCAAGGGCATGCACCTAGATTGCAGGCTCCTCCCCGGCCCAGGCCCTGGTCAGGGCATATGCAGGAAGCAGTCAATCCATGTGTTTCTCTAATATCAGTATTTCTCTCTTTTCCTCTCTCTTCCACTCTCTCTTAAAAAATCAATGGAAAATGTCCTTGGGTGAGGATTAAAAATAATAATAATAATTGTCAGGCTTAAATTCTCATTGTTTAAATTTATTTATAAATAGGAGTTCTAATATGTTCATCTTGGGTCACCCAAGGTGTGCCACCTTTTGGAAAAATTTAGTAGGAACAGATAGGTGGTTAGCTCCTGTCTTTCCTGATGCATTAGGAGATCACATCTTCCAGTATGCAGTGGCTTGGCAGGATCTGATTGATGGTAAAAATCTACTAAATGGATTTTGCTGCCTCAATTGGGTGGGAGTTCATATCGTTAGCTCTAAATCCCATTTCCTTGTATTTTTTACTTTGCAGTACAAAATCATGGAATCATAAAAATTTAGAGCTGGAATGGATGGTTTGGAGTTTGGAGATGAAGTGGTTCTATCTTCTCATTTTATGGGTTAGGAAACTGAGGCCTAGCTTCACAGCCTGTGATGGAAGAGCATGGATTAGTCAGGCCTCTTGTAAATCATCCTGGGAATAAATGCAGAGCATTTACCTGCTTGATTTTATTCCCTCCCTTCTATCTGCTGGGACACACCTTTCAAAGGTGATTGTATTGACAGCTAAATGAAGAAAATGAGAATTCATTTCTAAGTGCCAACACATTCTCTGGTTGTTATACATTAAACCTTCTACGTATGTCCATGTTCAGATGTTGAGAAAATGAAATTTAACGTAGTGAACATGTCTACTCTTTATTTCTTTTTGCTTTTTCAGGAAACCTAACAGTATTTAGTAATGATGCTGTGTTCTGGGTGACCTTCTCTTGTATAGTTGTTCTCATTCCAGTAATTTTCATGGGCTGCCAAAGAATAGTAAGTGTTTTTCATCAACAGTTAGATTTATTTATTATATTGTCCTGGGCCTTCAGTTGTTCACTTATTGCATCAGTTTGCATGTTTTATTCACAAGTACCATATGATTTCACTTATATGTGGACTCTAATGAACAAAATAAACTTAACAAAGTGGAGACAGACTCATGGATAGAGAACAGACTGACAGCTGGGAGTTGGGGGCTGGGTGAGAAGGGTAAAGGGATTAAGCAAAGACTCATGGACACAGGCAACAGTATGGTGATTGCCAGAGAGAAGAGGAGTCGGGGGAGAGGGAAGAGAGTAAAGGCAGGGGGTAAATGGTGATGGAAGGAGACTTGACTTGGGATGGTAAACACACAATATAATATACAGATGATATATTGTAGAATTGTGTTCCTGAAACCTATATAATTTATCAATCAATGTCAGCCCAATAAATTCAATAAAAAATAAAATTTAAAAATATGCTTTTAACAGTGGGAGCAGAGAAGGTTGGACTCACTGTAATGCAACAACCTGATGGATCATTAGCCATCTCTGCAAAAGAGTGGTTCTTCGTTTAATTAAACTTTATTGTTGAAGTTCTTTCACAGGGAAGATACCTTTTATATAAGGTAAACTGTGTTTTAAGAACTCATTATGGGTGTCAAAGATTGTTCTTAGTTTATAGGTAACCTTTATTCAGCTCTAAGACTTGGTCCTTTTCATGTGAGCAGAAGTGATTCCCTGTGTTTGAGGCCAGTGATAAGCGTTAGCAACTATTCTTGTTCTACCAGAGGTAAAGCCTAAAATTTCCCTCTCTTCCACAGCTGAACATCCTGACTTGTGGATTCATTGGCTCCTATTCGGTGGTCTTGGCCATTGACAGTTACATGTATACAAGTCTTTCTTACATCGCTTTGAACGTACTCAAGAGAGCACTCAGCCCTCATTTCCGCAGAGCTTTCACAAATGTGCCTTTTCAAACTAATGGTAAGACCCTAAATCCAAGAATCAGAGCGATACTCAGTTAGGAATATTGGCTCACCTGTGCTAACAGAAGCACTTGGTAATAGAATGAAAGAAGATTAGCTGGAGGAAAGAAAGTTAACTGTGGGCACTGGTCATAAAATATTGGATTGTGAAGGACCCAAACAACTGGTTCCTTTACAAGCTGTCTGGACTTTCACGTGACTGTAACAGAAAATTCCTATCTTCAAATATAAGATTATAGTTTCTTCACTCATTCCTTGGTTTGTAAGTAAGGAAATAACATATGTTTGGACAAACTCACCACAAACACTAATATTACTAAGAAAAGATGACATAAATTTAGGTAGGCTATGAAAGGTTACATGTTAGATCTGCTTGGTTTTGAAATACGCAAGTTCCAACTGTGCGTTTTACTGTTTTTTAGACTTTATTATCCTGGCAGTATGGGGCATGCTGGCTGTCAGTGGAATTACGTTGCAGATTCGGAGAGAAAGAGGGCGACCGTGTTTTCCTCCTCACCCGTACAAGTTATGGAAACGAGAGAGGGAACGCAGAGTGACCAACATCCTGGATCCCAGCTACCACATCCCTCCATTGAGAGAGAGGCTCTATGGCCGATTAACCCAGATCAGAGAGCTCTTCCAGAAGGAGCAGCCAGCTGGAGAGAGAACACCCCTGCTTCTGTAGATGCCAACGGCCTTGGTCAGTGTGATCCTGAAGAACACAGGCACTGCGGCAGCTTTGGTGTTTGTGCCCAGCCTGCTTCAGCCATCTCCAGTGCAAGTCTGATAAGAAAACAGGCTTGTGTATCTGTGTGCGGTGTCCTTACCGATGCATGGAGATTATAATTCTAAGTGATGAAAAGATGACCAAAAAATGGGTGGTAGGGAAGCTTTTCCTTATTCCAAAATACTTGAGAAATTACCTCTTGGTTTACATGATCAACTTGTTCCATTAAATAGATACACACACGCACACGCACACACACAAATTAAAAAACTGATTCTCACATAAAGCCGTGGTGTTTTCTTTTTACAAGTCCTGGAAAATTTCTCACACTTTAGTCCGTCTAAACCTGGGGGGCAGGGGCACAGAGGATGGTTTGAGTGTTAGACTGAGTTTTTTGCTACTGTTTAGAGATTTAGGGATTTGATACTGGGTCTTTGAACTTCTGAGTCAAAAGGAAAACTAACTTAAAAAGTCTGATTACTTAATTGCATCTCTGTTAGTATCATATAGTAACAAAAGGTGTCATTCTTTTGCTTATTTTTGTGATAAAAAACACATTTACCATATCATTTTAAATGTATAGTTTTTGCTTTTTTATTGTTTAAAGTGGTAATTTAAATAGCTAAATTATTTCAATTTGAAAATAGATCTAATTTATATAGATAACAGAACTTTTATATGGATGATTAATTTATATTCCAAATAATGGCCTGGTTTTTTTTCCTGGCCCTTTAAAAGAGTATTGATAGCTGATCTCTAATTTAAACCATATTAAGTGACATAAATTTTTGTTTTGTTAATCTTTACCTGCATTTTGTAGTTCTTTCGGCTAAATTAGTTATTAGCATTGATGTGAAATACAATTTCAAAAAACCTCTATATGAAGCCCTTTGTACCATCTGTGTTTAATGTGATGAGGAAGTCAAAGCACTCAGTGTTTAATGGAGCTACTTTTGAAGTAGAGGCTTGGCATTTGTAAGGAAAGTCCCTTCAGTTTTAACTTTTTTTTTTTTTTTTCATCATGAGAATGTAACCTGGGTGCCCTGGGCTGCATAGCTGCTCCTCATGGCCTTTTAACTGTCAGAGCCTCTGCCACCAGCTCTGCCTGGGACTTGACATGTCTGAGTGACAGGGTGGTTGTATGCACATTTGTGAGTTAACCACCATTTGAAATGATGCTGCTTTAGAGTTTTTTCAAAGCACAATAGATTTTTGAAATTTCGGGTAGCTGGAAAATTTTCAACTTTTACTTTTGAAAGTGTCTTGGAAATGATTTATTCTGTAATCCACACTATTTATATAACCGCAGTAACACTTAAACTTCAAGGAAATTTTTTTTTATAATTCACCGTAGGGATTCTGACTTCTGCCATATCTTGGTATATTCTAACAAAGTTATACAAAATGTTTGTGAGTTATTTTCTATACCATTAAAACGCACTGCCAGTGAAGATTGTAAAGATACAACACACTTTTTTGGAGGGGGATACAAATTGTTAAAATTTATGTTAATTTGTGAGTAATAAAAAGCTCGTTTGTACAATTTTTAAATAAATTCCTATTTTGAAAAAAATGCTAAAATGTCTCATTATTATAAAAATCTTATAAAATTTTTTTGACAACTATCTTTGTACCACAGTAACAAGACATAAGAAGACAGTTTCATAGCTATAAAAACAATTATTTAATTAAAAATAATTATTTAAAGAATCAGTTTAAGCACAAATGAAATCATAAGAAATGAAGGAAATCTGGGGCAAGCTGATGTCTTTAGTGGGTTAGTTCATTAGAACTTCAGGTATGTCAAACTGAAGGAAAGTAATAATATTGGAAAAGTATACTGTCCTATTTTGTTTCTGATAACCTGTTATAGGCTACCTACCATGTTTTCAAACCACAGTAGCTCACCAGTGCTATAGATCAATTGAGTTCCATAGAAGATGAGATAGTAACTGATTTTAACAAAGAAATTGCTAGTATATTAGGCCACAAATGGACTTTATTTATTTTTTAAAAATATATTTTATTGATTTTTTTTACAGAGAGGAAGGGAGAGGGATAGAGAGTTAGAAACATCGATCAGCTGCCTCCTGCACACCCCCTACCGGGGATGTGCCGCAACCAAGGTACATGCCCTTGACTGGAATCGAACCTGGGACCCTTCAGTCCCCAGGCCGATGCTCTATCCACTGAGCCAAACCGGTTAGGGCTGGACTTTATTTTTTTAAAAGTATATTTTTACTTATTTCAGAGAGGAAAGAGGAGAGAGAACCATTAATGATGAGAGAGAATCATTGATCGGCTGCCTCCTGCTCACCCCCTACTGGGGATCAAGCTGGCAACCCAGGCATGTGCCCTGACCAGGAATCCAACTGTGATCCTTTTTTTACTTTTAAAAAAGGCTTTATTGTTGCAAGTATTACATAGGTCCTCCTTTCCCCCCTATTAACCTCTTCCAGCCCACTCCCCCCACCCCCCAGGCCCTCACATTGTCCGTGCACACAGGTTATGCATATATGTATACAAGTTCATTGCAAACAGTTATCTCTTGGTTCATAGGTCGATGCTCAACCACTGATTCACACTGGCTGGGCAGGAATGGACTTCAGAAATCATGTTATCTGAACCCTTTATTTTATCGTATCATAATTATGTTGTTTTTGTGGTGAGAATAATTAGGAAATCCTTGACGAAGGAGCCAATTATATGAAGTCAGTTATAAAATAGTGCCCAGACCAAAATTTGGGATGCCTGACTCCCTTTCCAAATGTGCTGTTGCGCTATCATAAAGAAAATGTACATCACTGATTACTTCTCATTTTTCTCTGGTGAACTGGCAGGAGGCTTCTAATGTTAATATTGCAATGATCTCTTCTTTGGGAGCGGGGGGGTTACAATTTTATGCAATGAAAACATGTTTTTTCCAAGTTAATTCTCTGAGGTCCTAGGTTGTTATCCATTTCAAAGAACATAATACTAAAAAAATTCAATATCCATACTTATCTCCATAGCAGCATTTGTATAGAATGTTTTAGTATAAAGTTCACTCCTTGATGTATTTGATACCTGTTATTAAATATCATTAAAACCCCAAGAAGAGATAAACCCTAAAAATAAATGTCAGCATTATTTTCAAATTAACTTGGAGAGCACACCAATTTTAATCACTCATCTTTATTGATAAAATAGGCTCCTATGCACTACACACCTTCAGAATAAATGTAAGGTTCTGCTTAACAAAAAAGTATGGGGTGGAGAACTGTTTCTATATGACAAAGTAAATGTCTTTAAATAGCAAGATCTTAGAATTATATCCAAGTAAGAAGACTAAGAATAAATTAATTCAACTTATTGGTTTACAAAAATAATTATCAAGTAATGTTTTATAATAGAGCTGCCTCAAACTGCCTCAGACAATCTCAACTGTGTAGCTTATTTTCTTTCATTCTAACTTGGGATAAAAACTATATGAATGAGTGTGCCATCAAATTAAGGAATACTTTCCCAAAAACGAATAGAAAAGTTAAAAAATAAAAACTGTCATTTATTTATAAAACATTAAGGCCTCTGAATGAGAACAAAAATCAATTTAATGTTTGGGTCAATAGCCCTTTTCTATTCAATCAGCCCTATCAACCCCACTTACCCCAAACTTAAGATAGAAAAATTCTGAAAAGTAGTTTTTAATTTTACCAATATATGAAATTATACATAAAAATTACCATGTAAATATTTAACAAATTTATACTCAAAAGTAAATTTTCTATTATGCTAATTTTAATATGTATTTAATATAAATGAGCGTAATATATTTATATCTGACACTTCTCTGATCTTTTTATTCTGTAATCACCAAAAATAAGAAAAAAATTACATTTCAATTGATAAAGCACATTTCTATTTTTGGTGGCTTTTAAAAATTTACATACTGGATATATATTTTATTAAAAAAATAAAACAAATATTCCTAACTCCATTGATTTTTATTCCCTCTTTAACTGTAAAGTTATAAGAAAAATCTCATAGGTTATGAGGACCACATGGGTGCTTTTAAGAATAGATCCAGAAATTACTTTTTTAATTTACTTTTTCTATCTCACTTAACAGTTACTTTTAAAAAAGGGACTCTGAGGCAGAGGATATCCCAACTTACTTTGAAATAACCATACCTAGCTTGCTTTATCAAACATTTCAACTGTTAGCTAAATGAGCTACACAGTATCCTTAAATATCAACCACATAAGAGAAAAATCTCTTCATTAATGATTTAAAAGCAGAACTTATTCTTTCAGAGTAGTTTAACCTACTAAATATGTCTCTTATAAGATCTTCTTTCTTAGAAAGTAGTATTTCTTCTCTTTCATTCCTGAAATGCTATCTCATATGCTTAGCAATTATGGACAATTGTTTGCTGAGTATTATAGTAAGTTAGCTAAAATTAAATTACCTTTTTTGTGTATGGTGTATATAAGACATTCCTACAGCCTTTCAAACTGATTTTTTTTTTTGGACAAGAATTTAAATTAATGGGAAGGTAGATAGGCAATCATTAAAGCTAAAGTCTCATGGTACATAAGCTATTTGTTAACTTTGACACCAAACAGGGAGGATAAAACTTAGTATGATGATCTTCCACTCACCAAACTGTGGCAAAATGTGTATTTTAAAATTGGGATAACTTCATGAATTCCCACACATTTACTGGGAATATTCCAAGTATCATCCGGAAAGCCAACAGCACTACTGGAAGCTCTTGAAATGTTCAGCAGTCACTGTAAAAATCTTCAATTTGTTCAGCAATTAACAAACTCTTGTTTCTACTTTTCAACTGTATTTTGGAATAAAGTCTATAACCATGAACTATGCATTTTTTGTTGCTACCTCTTAAAAATGTCATTTACAGTGCACTGTACATATTAAAGGGGAAGAAAGAGTAGCGTGAGATTGATTTTCCTGTTAATTCATTAACGTCAGTAGACCAGTCCCAGGGATCATTTGGAGCCTTGTAAGAAACTCAGACTCTTCAGCTCTTCCTCAGACTCAGGTCGCTATTGGTCACTAATGCTGACAAGGAAGTATTTTCTGATACATCATCTTTTCTAAGGTTCAGAAACGACTCTCGGGTTATTTGAAGGATCTCTCTCAAGCCTTTGTTTTCTTGCTATAAGAAAATAAAGACAAAGATGCAGCCACCAAGTTAGCCAGCTACAAGAGCACAAACATACAGTATAACAAATAAGAAGCAAGTTCTGTAACTGACAGAAATGCACTGAATGATATATATGCAACTGAAGTTGACACCCTGAATCCAGAGAACACTTTATTTTAAAGAGGTAGGAATCATGTGTTCAATGGCTTCTACCTCTGCAAAGTCTTCTTATTTATGCAGCTATAATTGTAGACAGACCCTCAGAAATTGCCTTATTTTAACATCTAGATTTATATTTAAATACACTCAGAAAGTTTGTGAGTAATACCCTGGGACTACAACCTCTTAGTACTTTAGTACTTTTATTACCTCCATGATAGCATGGAATACAAGACAAGCCATCTGGTTTCTTACCTTACAGGAATTTGACAACAGGGTTGGTTGAGTAAATCATGATGTTTTTCAAAAAGGAAAGTAAGTGACCAAATCTAGACCAAAAGGTAAACAACTTTGCCTTTTTTTCGGTAGATATTATAAGAAATGTGCACACATTTAAAAATAATTTTCATAATTTATTCTCTATCACTCTGTCTTTGATTTTACTTTCTAAGTTCAATGGTAAAAGGCAGGGATCAGCAAACTACAGTCTGGCTTGGGGTCTGTTACTGTAAATTAAATCTTACTGTAAATTTTGCATTACAATGGAAGAGTTGAGTAGTTGCAACAGACTATCTAGTTTGTAAAATCTAAAAAATTTACTATCTGGCCCTTTACTGGAAAAGTTTGAATCTTGTATGCTTAGAGAGAGAAATAATTTTGGCCCTGTACAACCATAATTTCAAAATGAAGCTTTTAAAGTACAAAAGTCTATTCTACTGATTCGGCTTATTCAACAATGGTTTATGCTTTCACTACACAAAATAAAGGACAATGATTTATGGGATATATTTTCTGGCATAGATCTTTGAGCAGTTTCACCTACTTTTACAATTTAAAACTTACTTCAAGCTGAAATATTCTTTCCTGTTCCTTACAACCCTGTTGCTCATCAATTTCAATGGCTTTCTTCATTACCGCTGCCATTTCAGTTATCTGGTCAATATGTGCTTGTAATTCCTGAAAAAGAGAGATGGGAGTTGCAAATTAGTGAAATACTGTATTATTGTTATTTTTGGATCCTCTCCTCTTTATAAAATCTTTACTGCCACTTAATATGAATGTAATATTCACATACTGCCATTTAACATGAATGTAATTAATATAATAAACAGATATTTACAAGAAAGCTGACTGACCATGATCGTGCTTTTGAAATTAGATTTTAGGACTAGAATTAAGACTAAGCAGCATAATTTAAGTAAACCCACTTGTAAGAAGAGAGCTCATATTTCACATTCCTTTCACTACAAATGATCAGCAACTTT